CGAAGAAGATGACGATACCCCCTACACAATAGCTAACGAACGACACTCGGCCGAATTCCGCAAGTCGAAAAAGTCCAGCTGGAAGACGATAGGCGGTCCTGCTGCGCCATCAAATGCTGAGCAGGTAGCTGCTGACGCCATCCTAGCCTCTGCTGCTGCTGAGCGGGCTGCACATGAAGCTGAGGACGAAGATAGGCCTGTAATCGCCGACGGGGATCCCGATGCTGAGCAAGAGAGTGGCGAACTACGTATGGAATCCGGTGCGCGGGCGGGCTTGCAGACGGCAGAAGAGACAGAGGCGATGGTAGTTGCACAACAGCGCAAGCGTCAACTGGAGTCGTTGGCCATGAAGAAATCCGACCGTGACCGTGCTGGGAAGGGCGTCGTGGAGCCTGAAACCATATACCGCGATGCGAGCGGGCGGATAATCAATGTTGCCATGAAAAGGGCGGAGGCGCGGAGGGCGGTGCAGGAGGCTGCAGCGGCTGAGGCGGCGGCCAAGGAAGCGTTGACGGGCGATGTACAGCGGCGTGAGAAGGAGGCGCGGAGGGAGGCGCTGAAGGAGGCTAGGTTTATGCCGCTTGCCAGGACGGTGGATGATGAGGAAATGAATGCCGAGTTGAAGGCTAGGCCGAGGTGGAATGATCCTGCTGCGGAATTTTTGACGAAGGGGACGACGAGTGGAGGTGGCGCTGTGTTCGGTGTTGGAGGGGGGAAGAGCGGGAGGAGGGTGTATACGGGGCCTGCGGCACCCAATCGGTATGGAATACGGCCGGGGCATAGGTGGGATGGGGTGGACCGGGGCAATGGGTTTGAGCAGCAGTGGTTTGAGGCGCGGAATAAAGTACAGATGCGGCAGGGGTTGGAGTATGCGTGGGCGATGGATGAGTAAATAAAGCGGTTCTTGTGGTGTTCCATCGCATTACTTTTACATTTTGATTTTTTTCTCCCAAATATCCGTTCTTACAATGGCATGGTTGGCATTTGGGATGAGATAGCATGCTTGGATATTCTTTCATATGATGTTTGATGGCATAGTAATAGATATACCCACTTTGAATCAAACCCGGTACAATATCGAAACAGTTAATAGTTCATGTTTGGTTTTATTACTTGGAGGTTCCATATATGTACATCATTGCCTGCCAGAATTCGATTCCGGACTTCAGAGCAAATCACCCTCATCTATATACTTATTCTAGAGTAAAACTCAACTATCATATTTCCACAACTCCTTCAAATTAAAAGGAGGAAGAAAGCATGGCGAAAAGCGAACCAACAAGCACTGCGAAAATGTAAATGAAAGGGCCATAACCGCTGAACCCCAATTGTTTATGTAAGTTGTATGTTGTATATAAAAAAAAAAAAAAAAAAGTGTAAAAAACTGTCAAATATAAAATGACAGGATGTGATATAAATTCGCTAGCATCCATTTCAGCTCATATATCAGCATCCGGGCCTGTCCATCAATTTGTCCATTCACCACTTCCCCCAATGCATCCGTCCATCCACTCCCTTTTTCCACACACTTCCCAAGTAATTCAGCAGGAACAGTCCCACAACCAGCACAACGAATGAAGGAAAAGAGAAAGCAGCGGAAGGGAAAACCGGGACAAGGAAATGGATGAGGAATGACAAAGGAGAATTGTTCAGAGTGAACGGCTAGTCGGCAGACGAAGGTGCCGGGACTATATATATGTATATATAAGGAGAGAAGCTGGGAAATGGTTGACGTCAAAGGGAGAAAAATGGGGGTAGGAGGAAGATATGGGGAATACGGTGAAGAAGAGCGGAGATGGTGGAGGGGGGAAGGGAGCGTATAAGCTAGTCGAGCGTCCCGTTTACGCACAGTAGAATATACGGGATGTAGACGTGGTGTCGGTGATATCCACGTCCGTAGGATGCGTGTAAACGTAGAGACGTGGGAACATAGGCTACACACTCCCAACCCTCCGTAGGAGAACATACGTGCAGCAACAAAAATGCATCTATCAATCTATCGAAAAATCAATCAATCAATCGATCCACCTATCCATCCGTCCATTCGTCCATTCATTCCACCAACCAGCAGATTGATTCCACAATTCAGATATGGTAGAGGAGCGACAGAAGTTGAGAGAAAGAATAAATGGGAGCGAAGGAAAACGATGAAAGCGCAGCAGTGGCAGTAATGGCGGTAACATGTAATATAAAGGGTGACAGATGGTGGTGCGGGAAGCTAGAGGGGAAAAGAGTAAGGAAGGAAAGGGGAACAAGAGAACAAAGAGAGACATCCAGAGCCGTAAAGATTCGATTCCATAGCATAGTAAAATCCAACGACCAAACAATTGGAAGAAAGATTCAAGCACTGTGCCGTGAACTGTATTTCAAAACCAAGGATCTTGAGGAGGAAAAACAAAAGAGTAAACACAGGATAGTAGCCGTGAGGCAAAAAGGCAGATGGGCAAGATTAGCATCCAAACGTGAGAAACGAGAAAGGAGAAATAACAAAACAAAGTAACCAAAGGGGACGCAATACATGGTAAGCAAATTACCGTTAAGCGTTGGGGATGTGCAGGAGAGGGTGCCAATATTTAATAAATCTCCAGCTCTTTTCTTCATTTTTTCGTCCTTCTCTCCCCTTTCTCCGGTATATTCGTTTCTTATAGTTTTCTTTCATATGTCATTTTTCTCGTCGTCCATACCCATACCGATATCCATATTCCAAATCAATATCCACAAAGCCATTCTATCTACTCCTCTTAACCTCCTGTGCCCACCCTTCTATGCCCTCCCCACGACTCCCAACAGGGATACTCAAAAACGCCTGCTCCATCCCTTTCGTGCCATCCAGATACGAATGACTCGCCATGCCACCCGCATTCGCTCTCCTCTCAGGTAACAGCTCGAGCATCGGGCTGAGGAAGTCCGAAATGGCCTTACTCTCCTCGGCAGAGAAGTGATATTTTTCTCTGAGAACGTCTGGGAGCGCCCAGTGGCGGAGTCTATGGATGTTGCGCAGCTCGCCCTTGCGATTGAATATTTCCTGGCTCCATTTTCCGGACAGGCACAGGGACTTGGGGAAGGGGCCTAGAAGTTCGATGATTTGCGCTATATGGTCGTCGTCTTTGCCGTATTTGGTACCGGATTGCGGGTCGAAGAGGTAGTCGCCAGTGATGAGTTCGAAAACCTATTGATTTTGAAGAAAACGGACGGTTAGTGAGAACGAGAAAGGGTGTTACGGCGTATATAAGGGAGATAATACCATTGCTGCCATACTCCACACGTCTGTGCTAGCACCCCATTTGGCACCAAGTATGACCTCTGGAGAACGGTATTGGCGGGTCTGGATATCGTTGGTGAAGTGATGCCCGACCCAGCAGGCATTCCCTAAATCGGCAATTTTTACTGAAATGATATCGATTTCAACGTCTTCCTCGTTCGGTTTTTGGGGGGTAGAGTTTTTATTTAAGGATATGCCGGAGACCTCTCGTTCCAAAATATCACTATAAAAAACGGTCATCAGAATAAGACAAAAATGCATATGAAGTTCGCGATGATAAGTTGCAGGGAACCAACGTTGTCTTTTCTCTTTGTTTTTGTGTTTCATCTTCGAGCGTCTCTGGATCTTTGATTCCCAATCGATCTCTCATCGAAAGGTTCGCTGTACTTGGCGTGGCTACAAGGAAACAGTTAACTACTGCGCATCAAGTGGGTAGGGGTAGGTCTTAGGCTGACCTGGTGAATCCTTAAGAATCTGGTTGAGGCTGCTATGAGAGTTTTGGTTGGAGGCATGAGTGCGGAAAGGGTCGATACCGCTAAAGCTGGCGTTAAGAGGGCTTGGTAGAGGTTGACTTCCAGTAATCAAAGTTCTTCTCCGCCGCCGACCATTGCGGTTATCCTCTTTATTTTCCTTTTTAGTTTCTTCCTCCTTGACACAGGTCTTCACGATCTGCTCCACATCACCGATCTCGATCAGGACGTTTTCCGGCTTTAGGTCGGTATGGATAATGCCACAATCGCGGTGCAGGTAATCCAGTCCAAGCAAAACCTGCTTAGTGATTTGCTTAACCAGGGCCATCGGGATTCCACGGTGATTCCAGCGCTTGATCAAACCCAGTAGATTTTCACCCAAAACCTCGAAGACCATACAGACGTGGACCCCGTTGGGACCACGATGCTCGAACGAATCCAAGAGGCTAACAACGTGCTTTCGACCTGGGTGATTCGGGTTCGCCTGGACTATCTTATTCAGAAGCTTGATCTCATCGATTGCGGTTTCAGTGTAGTGTGCGGCTGACCGCACGACCTTTAGTGCAACATGTTTTCCGTTCGTAGTATCGCGCGACAGCCAGACGGTGGAGAAATGCCCCCAGCCAAGTTTGCGGACGACGATGTAGCGGCCATTATTGTAGGATTCACCGGGGCGCACTGGGTGGTAACCTCCTTTGCAATAGTCCTCGGAGTCTTCTTCGTCAGCTGTAATTTCGGTGGGGTCATCGGTAGAGGAGGAAGATGGGGAACGAGAGAAGGGGGAGCCGTAGGTAGTTTTGAAGGTATGTGGGTTGATAGAAACCCTGCAGTAGATGAGTTAGAAGATACCGTTCTGTTAATACATATAATAATACATGAAAAAATGCGTAAGGGAAGAAAAGATCCGCCCACCCTGGTTGCTTGGAAGCTGATGCGGGCATGGCGGTGGGGCCCGGAAAGGCATCTCCCGGCGCAGCAGAGGGGGCAGACTCGTTCGTAACGATGGGCCTGAGGTCAGTTCCCTTCCTTCGCTTCTTGCCAGCGTTGTTCCCGTTGGTAGAGTTGGTTACGTTAGCAGTGCTGCTGGCCATCTGTTTTGCCTTGTTGATCGCAGCTTTCTTAATATCACCCCCATTCATCGTTATCTGGAAGCGAGAGCCGGTGAAGCCAGGGTGGAGAGGGAAATAATCCGCTGGTTATTTCCTGTCAACTGCTGGCGTGGGAGGTTGAGTAGAGGCTAAGTAGATGGTGAGGGAATGAGATGGGTGATGTTGGTAGGTGCTGGTGAGGGCTGGCTGCTGGCCGCTGGTCTTTTAGGTGTGGTTGGGTTCTGCAGGCCCAAGAGGGAAAGGCGGGAAGTGGGCGGCAGCCCAGAGACCACCGAAGAAGGGATGGCCAGAGACGGGGAAATATCAGGAAATGACAATTACGGAAGTTCCTCACGGCACCAGAAATGCAGGAGATGGGAGAGGCTGTTGCTGGGTGAGGAAGGGTTGAGTGAGGTTGAGGTCGAGGTTGAGGTTGAGGTTGAGGTTGTTCAAACGAGGATGGATGATGAAGCATATAGAATGGGGGGGTTACCGTCAACTAGGAGTGGCAGTCATAAGAGATAGTTTATAATACATCGACCAAGGGAGTAGAGCCCATGTCCCAGTAAGAACTATGTCGCTAAAAGTAGAAGATGGAAGATGGAGAGGATGCTGGAAATGAAGATGAGGACGGTGAAAAAGGAGAAAAGATATATGGGCCCATTGAAAATGTGTTGAGGAGATTGTTTGCAAGACCGTCCGCAATGATGTAGTTAGGTACTGTCTACCCAACCATATATATACAATGGCGGGGATAGAGGGGTGCCTGGTACATACCTCGAAACACGGTTTAACTTCGAAGCCAAATCATTAATAGCTTACAGCTTGCTCAACTAAAACACCGTCAACTGAAAATACGGATCATAAAGACCGACAGTCTATTCATTTGTCGCATTTATATAGCTGTTATCTAGATCGCGATGAAAGGTTGTCTGCCATCCACACGCCCTAACAGCCAAAATCCACATAACATGTACAGTAGTTATTAATAAGCACTTGACTTGAAGATGTAAGGATGTATGGACCTAATTATGTGCATATACCCGCAGCACAGGCTATCTGTTCCCAATGGCCAGTGTGGAGGAGTTGATTGGACGCTGCTCGGGCGTCAGGCGCTCTTCAGGGCGAACCGCCAAACGAAAAAGTCCCGAATTGCTATATTAACTAAACCCTGAGGAGGCGTGATTCCTGTGCATGTCCAACCCCACCAAAATGGCTCTCTCTGGGTATCTGGGGGATTGCCCGGTTCTCTGTGTTCCAGGGCGTCTTCCCCCTCCTCCAGCTCGAACTACGCTTCCACATCTAGGAGAAGTAAGAGCGCGGGATGAAGCACGCAAGAGACGATAGGAGATGGAGAAATTATTTTTATCTATTTTACTTCTTATTCTTACTCCCTTATTATTTATTTAAAAAAAGCCAAAACTTGGTTCCTCATCTTCGTTGCTTTTTTCCCTCTTTGGCTTCCAACCATTCGTATTTCAGCAATTGCAAAGAAACATCCCAAATGCAGAATCCCAATAGAGAACGTTTCTTCGGGTGCACTGGAACCATAGTGTTCAGGCGCGTTCAAAGTTTTTTTCCAGCTTCCAGAGATTGGGTCGTGGATCTAGAATAGTTATCTTTTGAGTGTATATACATCAGCAAGTTTGGGACAGGCTCTCTTTTGGCCTATGTACTCCTTGAGCGGGTAGGCTTGGGGTGACGTCTCCACTGCCCGTAACTTTACCCCAAGCAGTTGTTGTTGTTCCTATCTCTCCAGCGGTGTGAAAATAGTGGTGTCAACATGGGGATGTCTATGGATCCGTGGAGATTTGCAGCAACTCAACAGGAGGCCAGGTCTTAGAACAGGTCACATGATTATGACGCTCTGGCAAATCCCCTATCTGTTGGGATCCAGACCATCGTTGACGTTAAAGCAAACTTCTTTCTTCCCTCTTAGAGTTTCGATGCATCTGAAGGTAACAACAGCTGGACATGATGACTATTCAACCTTAGTTAACTAAATATAGAAACATTCTAATTATAAAGTATTCACAATAACAATTGCAAGTCTAGTATCAAACTGCATGTCATCAATCAATCTCATCTGCATCTTCACATTAATTGAAACCCCACATTTCATGCAAGATATGACATGAACTAAATACAAAACAGTCCCCTCCCAACTTACTTCCTAGATAGTCCGTCGCATGACGGAACGGGCTGGAAAGACGCAGGCAAATGAGACATCTAGAAAGCCTTTATATTCTCCTTTGCATGTCAGCGGCCTAAGCTCTTGACGAAATGAACTTGAAGGCTTGGGTCGGATACTCACCCATAGCTACGACTACCTCAATGCCATCGCAATAGTTTAGAGAGATGTTGAAATGGGTAGTTAACGTAGCTAGCTTAGCTGAATACGTCTGTTGTTAGTCTTTTTGACTAACTCAGGTGGTTGCTTCAAGGGCATACAGGATTCCATAACTCGTTAAATCCAACTTACCTGAATGAGGGAGCTCTTTCTCCTATTCATGCTCCTTGATTTTCATCTCCATTTTAAAAAAAGTCATCAACCCACGGCCTCCCTCGAAGAGTTAATGTTGGCGGCCTGATCTTTCAAACTCTCGCTGGGCATTATCAGCGATTTTCCTAGCAATGGCCTGTGTTTTACGTAGTGCTCGATACTCAGCCATATCGTTGCCAGTCAAATCCTGCGAACCATCAGCAAGGTGTTTCTTTCGCATTTTTCCGCTTTGACAATGGCCTTGACGAGGGGTAGGGCAACCGAATTATTTTTGACAACCAGAACGCATGGTTCTGTTCTGCTTTATCTGTCTTCCATCGGATATTCATTGAGTCTGCACGAGCTTGCATGCGTTCCACAGTGCTGGTTGCCATATGGAAATTATCGACGTTTTCTTCCCAGTTCGAATTCCGGAAGATTTAGCAAGCCATCATGTCACTTCTTGTGCCCAATTGCTTCCCATAGCGTGTGAAGGGCTTAGCTGCCAGGCACTCTGGGTCTCTTTCCTGGCCAGGTGCGCCTGCGACACTTTTGCCTGCCGCGACAACTCGAGCTATTTTCCTCACCTTAGCCTTCAGAGAATCAGTCAGCTCGGGTCTGGGCAATATCTCTTCAGGAACAGTGTCATAGCCCTCCACCCCCAATTGGGCCAATTGGGCCTTGAAACTCGACATCGTGAATTGCAGGAGATTTGCTGAAGGGCTTGGCTGTCGTCGTCGTCGTCGTTGTCGTTGTTGCTGTATAGACTTATTCTGCGATAATATCACTGGGCCGGTGGGTCCCGGCCACAACAACTACGTAGGTGAAATGAGTTGAATATGTTTAATAGCACGCATGGGATGATTGAGGGAAAACAGAGGAGTAAGTGAGATTAGAATATAATTGGAAGGACGGGCTTTTTGGCGGACCTCCAGCAAACATTAGTTATTCCAGCTTCACTGCTCTAACCACGCATGTCCATAGAGTGCATTGCAACGGAATTTAGTTATTGCTAAAGAACATAAAATGAGAAATTTTATGTATTCGCAATAGAAAAATAGAACTACTAAGGTTGTGATATAAATTAGTTTGGGGTATTCGCGTTGCATGATGTTTTCCCCCCTTGATGACGCTGACGTATCTTTAACGAATTGACTAATTAGTTAACCCTTTTTACACTCTCGTCATATTCAACTAATAACCACGAAAGCCTGAGACAAATCCCAACCTCACCATCTTCAAATAGGGCCAAAATAATGATCCCCTAACATCAATTACCACGTTGCCATAATCTATGAAATAAAACACATCACCTTACCCCACATATGTACGAAAATAATGGGACCCTACGACCCTCCACCCCTTCTAATCCGCCTCCTCTCCTCCCCGCTCCTCTTCCTCCTTCGCCCTCTGCACACCCTTCTCCTCCTGCTGCGTGTCCCGCCACGTACGCGAACTCCGTCACAACGGCCCATCCGCGTCGTTTGTATATCAGACACGCACGATCGCCGTTTGGACAGTGTGCCGGATGGGGATCTGCTGCTACACGCGGGGGATATGACGAATAGAGGGACGAGGAGGGATATACAGGCCACAGTTGATTGGTTGAAGACTCTGCCGCATGCGAAGAAGGTGGTTGTGGCAGGGAATCATGATGGGTGGTTGGATAAGGGGGTTAGGGGGCGGATTGAATTGTCGGAGGGGGACGGGGAGGCTGGGCAGGACAAGGGATGCATTGATTGGGGTGATATTCATTATTTACAAAATAGCACCGTCACGCTGACTTTCACCACTCCTGCTGCTGCTGCTGCTGCTGCTGCTGCTGCCAGCAATTGCCTATCGACAGCCTCCAAATCGCAATGTCAATCGCAATGTCGAACCCTAACAATCCACGGCGCCCCTCAGGTGCCCCAACTCGATCCATCCCCTCACTCAATACACGCCTTCCAATACCCCCCTTCACCCCCGGCCGACAACAATACCCCATCCACCTACCCATACCCATACCCAACCCCTGTCCCCCAAGCCACCGACATCCTCCTCACCCATTCCCCGCCCTCCCAACATCTAGATAACTACCCCTACTCAGTTGGCTGCCCTTACCTGCTCCGCACAGTCTGGTCCGTCCGTCCAATCCTGCACGTCTTCGGCCATGCACATGTCGGCCGCGGTGTGGAGAGGGTGTATTACGATAAGGCGCAGGAGGCATGGGAGGCGCTTTGTGCTGCTAGGGAGGAGAGAGGAGTGTTGTGGGAGAAGGGGATGAGGGGGGTTGTGTGGTGGGTGTTTGTGAAAGGGGGTTGGTGGAGGGATTTGCTTGGCCTTGATGGGGTGTGGGGATTGGCGGGGAGGGTGATTTGGGAGGGGGTTAAGGCTGTGATTTGGGGGAAGGTTTGGCGGGGTGAGAGTGGGTTGGGGAGGGAGGGGTGGATGGTTAATGCGGCTTGTTTGGATGCGAGGGGGGAGAGGTTGAGGGGGGCAACTGTGATTGAGATATAAAGGGTGGATTGTCAGTGTGTGATTACTAATGATGAGCTATGACTGCTGTGATTTGAATATCAATATTTATAAGAAATGTGTGTGTGTGTGTGTGTGTCTGTATATAGAGCTCTATACAATTTCTGCATCCAATAGTTTCTATCAATGCAAAGATGCAGTATGTACAACATAATCAACAAAGTATGCAACGCAATGCAAAACAGAGAGATCTAACACCATCAACTCACATCATTTAAAACACCAATCATAACTTCGACTTCTCAGCTGGAGGAGGTAGTCTCTCCGACGGCAACACCAGCGATTCATAAACCCCCATCCCCAACGAATCCACCGGATTCGGCACACTTCTCACAGCCAATCCCTTCGTATCAACGAGGTCCGGACAGAGCTGCTCAATACTCGAACAACCAATCAACCGCATATTCATCACCAACTCATCCTTCAACAACTGCATCGCCCGCTCAACACCAGGTACCCCATAGGCACTCATAGCATACAAAAACGGCCGCCCAATCCCTACACCTTTGGCCCCCAAACACAACGCCTTAAGAATATCCGTCCCCCTCCGCACTCCACCATCAATATAAACCTCAATGCGATCCTGCCAGCCACGTCTGCGCAGCTCAGGCATGACATCTGCCAACAGCTCGATGGACGAGGGAGAAAAGTCCAACTGCCTCCCGCCGTGATTGGAGAGAACGACGGCGGGTATCCCAGCTTCCACCGCGCGGAGCACGTCGTCGACTCGCTGTACGCCCTTGATGACTATGGGCATGGTGGTGATGGACTGGAACCAGGGGATGTCTGCCCAGCTAAGGGAGGGGTCAATGAAGGAGGAAATAGCGCGGGCGGCACCCTGGGAGCGGTCAACTGAGGACTCCGAGTTGGCGTCTGAGGCCTGCACGTCTGATCCCCTGTCAGAGAACTTGGTGCGCATATCTTTCTCCCGGCGGCCGAGCTGCGGGGCGTCGACGGTGATGAATAGAGCTTTGCAGCCGCGTTTTTCGGCATGTTGGACGATGCGCTTTGTGATGCCGCGGTCCTTGTTGACGTAGAGTTGGAGCCATTGGATCTGGTTGGGCCCGCGGGCGTCGACGATTTCATCGAAGGAGCAAGAGGCTAGGGTTGGGATCATTTGGATGATGTTGTGGGTGTTTGCGGCGCGGGTGAGGCAAACTTCACCTTCTGGGTGGCCGAGTTTACCCAGTGCGGCGGCGGTGACGTAGAAAGGGGCAGAGACTGGGGTGCCTAGCATGGTGGAGGTGATGTCTACGTTTTGGACGTCGACTAGGACGCGAGGGCGGAACCAGATTTTGTGGAAGGCGGAGTGGTTTTCGCGGAGAGACTGTGGTTTTCTCTTTGTGTTAGAGGTTTTATATATGTATTGATATACATACAGACAGTTGGTTATAGCTGGAGCGTATGGAGTGGGAGACTGACTATTTCATCGTCAGCGCCGCTAGAGTAATATGCCCAAGCGGACTTCTTCAAGATACGACGTGCGACAGCCTCGAAATCTAGTAGATTGTAGCATTGTTCCAGCAATGGCATGCGTTGTATTCGCAATTGGCGCTCTTCCTCTTCTGGATCTACAGCTTTGTCTTCCTGCATGACGGTGTCCATTGCCACGGGGCCCAGGTGTTTTGAAGGGTCGAGGTACTTGTCAAGTGTGTCTGAAGGGTGGATGGGCTCGAATTCTTCCGTGGCATCTTTGCCGGCATATTTAAGGATAATTTTCTGACCGCCAGGGTGTTCTATATTTTGGTTAGCCGGTTAGAAGTGATACTTCTTTCTTGAGGGAGTTGAATAGGGGGGGATTATATATGTAGATACCGGGTAGAAAGTCTGTGACGTCGTATGCCTTGCCATGGACGATGACCCAGCAAGAATCCTTGGAGTTATGCTTCTGTATTTCTGGTCCCGTAAGAAGTTTTCCCTTGTGCTTCTCGTCTCCAGGCATTGCAGCGAGAGGATAGAGGGAGCAATGGTAGCTCCAAGCTTAGGATAAATTACTATGTAGCAGTGGTATAGGATTGTACGTTGGTTAGCCGGAAGAGGGAGTGAAAGGATATTTTCGGGATTAATATATCAGAGGGAAACGAATCTAAATGGAGAAGGGCTGGGTTTTATTCCCGAGCCATATATATTCTACTTGGGTCTTTCGTGCGAGAGAGAGAGATTTGGCATATAATGTAAGCGCAGAGGATGGGTTAATGTGGAGGCGGCAGTGGGAACAGGACTCCGCCCATTTAACCGTGTCATTAACAGATTGCCGAGCACAAGCTACCTTGGAAGCTATCACCAAGTAACTGTGCGGAGAACTATTTCCGTGACTACCCATGGATAAAAGCATACGCAGTCGGAGATAACCCAACTCCATAATAGGTATGGGGTGGGGTGGTGTTTTAACAAACCTGTATCCTTGGACCCACCCAATAACTAGGATCTATTTTTGAAAAGCCAATGATGACTAACAATGACATAAAATAGTTGTTGCTAACGTAAATAACTAGCTAATTCATCGTCTTTTCGCTATATTACCTAATCGTTCAGCCACTAGAGATCCAGCTTTTAATAAGAACAAAGTTCCATTTACTGCTGCTGGTGAATGTATGATGTCATGAATGTTAAAGAGTTTTGACAATGTACAATTCTTCTCAATTTAATAGACAGGTAACTAGTTTAACTAAATCTAAGTAATTCATTTAGTTAAATTCTAGTTTACTTAGTTAACTAAAGCTAGTAATTAGCTGAGGCAAGTCAGTCGATTTCTATTAAATTTGAGTAACTTAAGGACTGTTTAAGTTATTAACTAACCAAGTTAGAGGAAGTGTGATTGAAAATCTTCCTAACATAGACAGCATTTTAAGGGCCTACCTTGATTGCCCATGTCCAACCAATATCATACCATTTTTGCTCCTTGCTATATTTATTTCGAACCTTGGATGAAACCTCGGGAGGTCGATCATGTCGATCAGTAATCATATTCTGTTAGGCACACGTTGCCCGGGCAGCAGCCCCACCAAACGTGATTAGTGTATATAAATCGTCCAGCTAGCCTTTCATCCGAAGCCGAGATCAACCATCCCACAGGTTATAGCCCGGATAGCACGTTTTGGTGGAAGAACACCATTTTTAGCCAGATTTCATTATGTATGATAGCAATTGGATGAGTTCGACGTCGATTCTCAAAAGAAGACCCTTTTGTGCATAATTGACGAATTCCGCTGGAATACTGTCTGCAGCGAAGAGCGATCGCCTTCTTGAAGGAATCAATCTTTTGACCTCAATGAGTAGATTGCCCCCTGCTCCACATTCTGAACGAAAGAGAAGCCTACGTTCTCATTCAAAGGCCAAAGACTCCATCCCCCCGGTGTACGAAGAAGAGTACCACCAGGATCCGGTTGAGTCCAGCTCAGGAGACAAAAGGACAAACTGAATACACACTGGCAGAGGAAGACCACACAGGATGGAGAGAGCAGTTCAAGCTGTGATACGGGCAAACAGACCATATGTGATGAATTAGAAGGAGGGAATTCAACTCTTATGTCTCCTTCTATGCCTATCCTCAATGCCAATGAAAATGATCATCAAGACCACAGCTGATCTACTTGCATTTTTGCCAGCAAATGATGACTGCGTGAGAGAACACTCAAATCAAGGAAGGAGGCTTCACAAAGCAGCGTTATCAACATGGTGTAGGCTGCCCACGGTATCTTTCAGTGAAATTGAGACCAGACATCACCCGCGCAGCTTCCCTTCTGGCGCAAAACAATGCTGCCTCTACCCCAAAGGCATGTAAGGCATTACTTCCATATCATACAATATTTGAAAGGAACAAATGATCTCATGGGCTACACAGATTCTGATTGAATTGAATCTCTTAATGACAATCAAAAATCTATGTCTGGAGACATCTTTAAGCTTCATCCAAGCAACCCTGCGTTTCTTTGAGATCTAATGATGCTGGATATGGGCTTCATCACAGCAAACCCCCTGTCAATTAGAGCAGATAATAAGGGTTTGATCGATTTCAAATGGACTACCTGACACCATGGAGAAATTGCGATGCCTCTGAGGAGGAAATCCATCGGTTCGAGCACCTGGCCCCTGGCAGAAATCACAGCGCGCGGTAAGCATATTGACACTCGTTTCCACTATTTTCGTACGCAGCTGCATGAAGGGGTGATTTCCATTGATTGCACTTCCACGGAGGACATGGCAGCAGACGGTCTTACGAAACCTTTGAGCACACTGGCATTTAAACGCTTTATCAACTTACTAGGGGCTTTCATATGAAAAATAATCAAGACTAGTTGGATCTAGCATGTTTCGGTTGGATTCTAGGATAACTCAGCTAGCTCTTGATACGCGGAGGAATCCATCTCTCGCATGTTGGTGCGGGCGGGGGTGTTGGGCATACGTTGCCTGGGCAGCCGCCCTACCGTACGTGAATAGTGTAATATAGATAGTCTAGCTAGCCTTTCATCCGAAGACCTGCCCCAATTCAACCCTAACCCTAACCCTGTTTCCTGTTTTGAAGTCGCCGGGCTGAATCGGGAGAAATGTTTATCCCCGCAGGAGCCGCATCAGCTTTTCCTCATCGTCTCTCGTTGTGTACTTTTTCAACTACAACATCTATTAACAAGCATACGAATACTAAACGCTCGGGTGGGGAGTTCTAGGGCAAATGCTGGTTAAATTGGACTCTAACGGATGTCCCATTCCATCTCAAAATTCTCCTTCACGTGCGGGTTATCCCACCACGTGGACAGGACTGAGGTCTTCTCTATGATGACCCGCTAACCTCCTCGGGTGACTTGACTCTATTACTGAGACGGTCACGCCGCCTAACCTCAGCCCGGTCTCTCGCTGTGTCTATCTGCCTGTCTGCCTCCCTGCCTGCCTGCTTACTATATTACCTTAGCTACTAGACCTCTCTCGCTGGACATTACTCACCGCAGTCTCTCAAAATACCCAAAATAGATAGATACTGATTT